ATTAAGTGGACGATCGTTTAAGGACCGTATGCTGTCGATTGGTTCAGGTAACCTGACCGTCTGCTGTCGATTGGTTCAGGTAACCTATTAAGTGGACGATCGTTTAAGGACGATCGTATGCTGTCGATTGGTTCAGGTAACCTACCATACAACTACCTTTTGGAAAAAAAAAAGGAAAATAAGTATTAGCACATTATTAGCAAATTGGTTTTCATTGTAAATTGAATTTAGTTATAATATTACATATTTATAATTGATTTGATTATTTTCAATTTTTCTCTTTTGTTCTATTAGGTTATATATGTACTTTGCTTGTAATACATTTAATAAAAAAAATTAATATGATAATTTATAATATGATAAGATGAATTTTATCACTCATTTCCAATTACTATGAGCATAAAATTATTTTCATAAAAAAATCATTAAGTTTTTCAGAATAAGTATTTTTTAACCATCATAATTTAACTTAATCTCCAATATTTTTCTTTCCTTTTTCTTTTCTTTTTCAATAAAATCTCCATGTCTTGGTTTGTATTATTTTTTACTCGTTTTGCTAATTTAGATTTGTGACTTCTTCTTATCGTCTTGATAAAAGATATTGTGTTTTTAATATTCAATTTAAAATTTGAATTTAAACTATTTTCAATACCTTAAATTTAATTACCAATATACTGAAACATTAAATACATATTCATATTAACATTAAATCATTAATTTAGATTATGACTTAATTTTTGCATTTATTATTAAGTACTTTTTATTCATAAAACAACTTAAAATGTTACTTATTTAAATCACAAAGTTTCATTACATAAAAATTTATATTTTAATGAATAATATACCTTAAAAATAGATAATTGTAACATGCCACTATAAATTAATTTAAATCAATATTGAAATTTCTAGTTTTACTTTCTGATATTTTTAACCAAATTTAAATATTAATTACACTTTAAAAAAATATTTAATTTTTTTAAAAATATATTTAAATACCAAAGTTGTAAAATAGTAACTATTTTAATTATTATATTTTTAATTTTTAAAATTTCATACAATTTTAACCTTTTTTAATAAATGAAAAATTAGGAAAGAGTTTACTTCTCACGAAACCAAATTCTAACTTTTTTTATGGTGGACTAAAACTTAAAATTTGATTTTTCAGTAACTAAATTTTATCTCAATATTATTTGGATAAAAATTATAAATAGATTATTATCTAAATAATTTTTAATGCTATTTTAGAATATTTTTCTCTAAATTATACACAAATTTATCGTTTCAATTTTTCTTTAAAGAAATTCTATTTTTTATTTATAATAAATTAATATACTATTTCTTCACCCATTTTATTTAATAAATATATTAAAAATATGAGACTGTTTTAATATAATTGTATACGTATTGTTTGTTTTTCTTAATTAATGCATAGAAGTTTTAAAATTTGATGGAGGCTTTATAAAGTTTGCGAGAAAATTAGTAGTTGATTTATGTTTCATATAAAAAATATAGCAACTATTTTAAATTTTGATTCATAAATATCAAATTAAAATAAATACTTCTTTAATATTGTAGAATATACATACACAGAAGGGTGGCAAAAGATGTTCCTACATAATATTTTTAAAATTTATAAATTTTATGTTTTAAATTTATACTGATATTCATAAATATTCGTTTATTTTTTAAAACATAAAATACCTTTTAAACAGATATTCATCCGATAATGGGATAGATTTTTTTATTACAAATTGAGTGACAAAAAAAAACATTATGTGTACTTAATCTATTGTCATTTCATATGTAAGCTTCCTTTCTTGGTGCATCTCATCTTGTAATTTGTTAGGGAACGGAACAATCCTTTTTCCTGCTCTTCATAAAGAGTGCAAGTAATTAATCATAATTATTATTTTTATTTGGAAGATAATCAAATTTAAAATCTCTATCTTAATTTCATCCTTAATATTAAAATAATTAAATAGCCACTTTGGGAATTTTAGTTATTTAGCTTGTAAATGTTCGAATTTTTACAATGAGTAAGAGAATAAAATTTCCAACCTAAGTAAAACCGTATATCTTTTATCCAGACCAACTTACCATACAATTTTGCACCGAACTCAAGAAATTTTAATCTCAAATAGCAAAGTATCAAAATTTCAACAAATTCAAAGCAACTCATAGATTGGGACTGGGATGGTATTCCACAATTATACTTTACCAAAATACATAAACATCAAAATACTAAATAATTGTTAGAGGAAAAAAAAACTATACATTTTATAAATGTCATGATATAATAGGAAGAAAAATAAATAAAAGAAAATGATAGACGTTGATGGAATATTTAAAAATAAGAAATGTATATGTATATGTATCATTGTTTTTCTAATCAAAGTATATCTAATATTTGTGAAAGTTTCATACCTGTCTTCAAATATGTTCTCACTCTTAAGGAACATAACAAAAAATGTGAATTGAACACTAATTAGTTTGACTTAAAAAGAATAATATAGTTATAAAATAAAAATAAACTTAATTTGTACCAAAATTATATATTGTGCTTTCATCTAGCTGGTATGACATGTTTGTAAAAGAATATCAGAAATAAATTAGAATTAAAGATACAGGATTGGGGGATGACTTGTAAGGAGGTGTATGAAAGGGTGATTGAGTTATTGTTTTTTATTTAATTTTGTAAACGATTCTTGTTTGGATAAAATAAAATAAAAAGTTTTGTTTTAATATTTATAATAACTTAATATATAGTTAGATATTATGGGTAAAATAGGTTACACGTGGTTTATATAACAAATATATAATCTAATTTAATTACTTAAGATTTAGATCAATAATAATAAGATAAACATTGCTTCTTTCTTTCAAGGAGTTTATATTTAGGAATTAAGTGTGAGTCCAAGTTCCATAATAAATAGAAATGAGAAAATAAAACACTATATAAGGTTGAAGATTTATTAATCCATTAAGGTTTTTGGTTGAGAGTGATGTCAATCTTTTATGTGATTGATTTCATATCTCATTGTTGTTTGTATCTTTCTAGTGAACATCCTCCTTGATAGACCCTACAGTTGTACCAGTCGCTGTCTTAATGACGAGTATAATGAAATGATAAAGTAGAACACTGTATAAGGTTAAAGAGAAATATCAATCTCTCATGTGAACAAGGAAGTGGATTTGAAAACGAGAGATATGATCTAAACTAAGAAAATTTTTGCAAATGAATCTTGTAATTATCGAATAACTCTTTTTTTTTTTAATTTTTTTTCATAGCGTATGAGAAGTTAGAGAAATGGAGTATGGGTAGGGAGAATATATTTCAGAGAAGAGAGAATAGATTATCATTAGGAGAGTATTGATTGAGAATCGATTATAAGGAGAGAATCGTGGTTTGTCTTTGATGATGTGCACATTGTGGTAGTTGGGTTGCTCCTGGTGTGGTCATAGGGGTGCTGCCTCTGGTGTTGGGATATTGTAGGTGGGGTTGTTGTTTGTGACCGTTATAATCTTATACATTGTTGCGGTGCTGTAGTGATTAATAATTAATAGTTAATAATTACTAACTAATAGTTAGTAATTAATTATTAACAGAAATAATTAATAATTAACAGTTAATAATTAATAATTAATAGTTAGTAATTAATAATTGACAGAAATAATTAATAATTAACAGTAATAATTAACAGTTAACAGTTAATAATCAATAATTAATAGTTAACAATTAATAGTTAGTAGTTAATAATTAATAATAATATTTACATTTAAATTTATATCATATTTATATCAATGATAAAATAATAATCATTTAATTTTATTTATTAAAATATTTTTTTAATCTATGATATCAATAAACTTTTATCTCAAATTCATCAAAATTAATTTTTAATCCAAACAACAACACAATTTTTTTTTATTCGTTGAAATTCATTCACTTATTCTATCCTAAATATTTTCTCCAATTCAAACTCACTTCAAGTTTGCCATCATTTTATTTATAATTGAGGCAATAGTTAGATAATGACAAAGGACAATGCTAAAATTAAATCTTATAAGATTGTTTCTTAAGAAATAATTTTGAAAGGATCGTGATAAAAAATTCAAAGCATGACTTAGATTCTTAATCAACCGAATAGACTTCCTACCAAAAGCTTTTTTAATTGACTTAACATCAAATTAAGCCTAATTAAATCACATTTAGTACGTGAACTGTTGGGCTGATTCTGACCTCTAATTTATTTCCTTTTCCAGAGTCCCACACTCAACCATTGACAGTGTTTGGATAACAGAATGGCTTCTGCGTCAAAAGCATCGTAAAAATTTGAAAAAAAAAAAAAAAGGTAACCATATATAAGCTATTTTGACTTTAAAGACAGAATTGAAAAAAAAAATTTAATCCAAACTATAATTAAACTCCTCACGTTTTGCTAATGTTTCTATGTCTCTAAATAGGATCACTAAAGTAAACGAATTATATATAAAAATACGCTAAATAGTTTTCAAATATTGAAATAATTTTTAAATTTATTTCTTTACTTTAATAAAATATTTCAATATTAAATGGATGCTTGTTTACTATTTAATAATTAAATAATTGAATTACTTTAAAGATCGTTCAGAAACAAAAAATTTAAAAATTAAAATTCTGTCGATTCTTTGTTGGCTGGGTATATTATTAGAGTTTAATATACGGTCACGACAGAGAACCTAATCTAAATAAAATAAAGCACAGCAATAAAAAAAGTACAAGCAAAATCATCAATATTCTCCGTATACAAGTGTCTAAGTATCTTATTATTATTTTCCCTCTTAACCAAGTAGTTCGGTACAGAGGGCTATGTAATCACCATGACAGTTCCAACCAAGCTGTCACAACTTATGATACATTAATTCTAATTGCACCATTTCAATAGCTAGGAACATTGTTTAAGGAACAAGGACCGACAGTATGCTAACAACTATATATAAACAGTTTGATAAAAGTTTATTAGTTTTCCAGCTATAGTTTTTATCAGAAGCATGAAAATTGAGGTATCGGAGGTATTGAAAAGCAATTATGCAGCAAAAGGCATTCCGAAAGGAGCGTTGGCACTACCACTGACCCTGCTAGTGGTGGTGCTGTTCATTCCTCTGATCATGAACATGCATGAATCGTATTCTAATCTTTATTATGATGGCAGTTTGGAAAGCACAGAAAATTTGACCTGCAACTTATTTTCGGGAAACTGGGTGGCTTATTCTGGAGGACCTTACTATGACAATGAAAGCTGCCCTTTCATAACGTACAAGCAAAACTGCTTCACGAATGGGAGACCCGACAGGGACTTCCTCAAATGGAGGTGGAAACCTGACGAATGTGAGCTTCCACTGTTTGATGCCAAAAAGTTTCTGAAGCTTGTTCGCGGAAAGTCCATGGCTTTTGTTGGAGACTCCATTGGGAGGAACCAGATGGAGTCATTGTTGTGCCTCTTAAATAGTGTATGTTTCTTACACTTTTCTTTTTAAATTGTCAACCTTTACTCCATGATCTTCCTTCGGGTTGAAACATTTCGTCGTCTAACTTGGTAATTCGATGCAAAAATTCAGTAGTTGCGGATTTTTTTCTTTTTATGAATTTTCAGTGCTTAATCAGAAAGAGGGAAAAAAAAAAGAATGAACATTTAATTTTGATGAGTTTGATTTCCTTCTTTTCTAAAACAGACAGTTAGCATGTATTTTCATTGTAATTATAAATTTATATCATTAGCTAATTAAAATATTATTAGATCATGTTAATGTTTAGTATTAACATTTATTAGATATAATTACACATTAATCAACGAGTTAATGTTAAATTTGACTTATTTATTGATTTCGTAAGATCGTCGAATTTCATTGATTAAGTCCTTTAAAACGTGCATTTACAATTTAATGGCTGATGTTGCAAATCATTTTATAATCGGGATATAAATTTAAATTTTAGTATTTTATTTGAAAGCTTTCTTTTATCCGTCGTAATAATTGAACAGAAAACTTTATAATAAGTCACCTAAAAATTAAGTCATACGTTTTAATACTAAAACTTCAATTTTATTTACCTTTGTGAGTACAAAATATACACGTAGGGCTAGTTTGATGGCTTAACTATAATTTTTTCCAAATTCTTTATTCTCGATGTGGGACTAACGGCGAAGCTACTCTTTCAGGTTGCTCGTCCAGAGGACATTACAGACAGATACACATTGAACGATGGAAAATATTTCAAATGGTGGTTCTACGCACACTATAACTTCACTGTTGCAACACTATGGTCCCCCTTTCTGGTGAAATCCAGTGAAAAATACCTGAACGACACTTCTTTCTCCAACGCGGAGAACCTTTACTTGGACGAAGCAGACGAAGCTTGGACCACCCACGTTGCAAATTTCGACTACGTTATTTTCTCAGGAGGACAATGGTTCTTTCGACCATTAACGTTCTACGAAAAGGGCAGGGTTGTGGGGTGTCAACAGTGCCATAACGTGACGACAGACCCGCTAAACTTGTACGGTTACAGGAACGCATTGCGAACGGCTTTTAGAACGGTGGTGAACCTAAAAGGGTTCAAGGGGATGGTGATTTTGGTAACTCATTCGCCGAACCATTTTGAGAACGGGGCGTGGAACAAAGGTGGGGGTTGTAACAGAACAATGCCCATCACAAAGGAAGAGAGTGCGATGGTGAAACCGTACGGTCTTGAGGAGATTTACGAGACTCAGGTGGAGGAGTTTAGGGTTGCGGAAAAAGAAGGGAGAGAGAAAGGGTTACGTTTTGGTTTGATGAACATAACTGGAGTGATGCTTATGAGAGCCGATGGACATCCTGATAAGTATGGACATAATTTGGATGCGAATGTCAGAATCAACGACTGCGTTCATTGGTGCATGCCTGGCCCTGTTGACACCTGGAATCAGTTCTTGCTCCGTCTCATCACAATCGCAACCTTCTAAATCTTCTCTATTTCATTGCCTCGCTGGGTATACTTTTATTTTCGTCGTAAATAAATTCAAAGTAAAATCGCTCATAAATTTGAAAAAAAAAATATATCTACATACTTTTATCTTTTTATAAAAGTATCTTTGAATCTATTTTTTAAAAACATATATAGTTTTTTTTTTTAATCTTGTATTTTGTTGATCAATTTAAGGTACCATTTTCAGATCTTGATGTTTAAAAATTAGAAATAATTTAATTGATCAAATAGTGCCGGAAAGACCTAGGATACTTATTTTTACAAATAGGTTCAGCTTGATACCCAATGATCATTATGATTTTATTTTATTTAGTGAGATTAAATGTGTAAATAAAAATAGAAATATATTGGTCCACCTTGTTTTTTATGTCCTTTTTCATTTGTATTTCTTCTGGATTTAGAATAATTCATGGATTTTTTTCATGTTTTTGGATTGGGACACAATGGCGGTCCTATAATATTGTGACTGTATCTCCATTCTCCAAATAATTTGCACAAACCCTCAAAACTTGTTCAAATTTATATTTCATATTGATGCATATGTTTGTAGTAAACGTGTTTAGATATAACAATTATGTGTGAATACAATAAGTAATGTTTTGTAAACATTCCACATTCACACACAATTTATCTAACTTTAACTATATATGGATTTTTCTTAGACTTCGTACCTTTTCCGAGTTTATGGTCACTTCCACTAAATTTATTACGTTGCATTATCCATAAGTGTTTATGTATATATCTTCCATTACTTTTCTTGCTACTTTAAAATACGGATTAAAATTTTTAATTAATGTGGTCATGCGTATATATGCATTTATGTGTGTGTGAAAGAGAGAAAAACACAAAATGCCTAAAAATAGCAATTACAACTAATGTTGAAGATGAGAAAAGGAAGTTAGGATGATGGAAATAGCATAGGGGGAAAAAAGTTGTCTTTGTGTAATAGGAAAGAGAAAATGAGTGAGTGATGAAGAAATATGAGAAAAATAAACAAGTGATGAGAGAGTTGTTAATTTATAAGGTTTAAAAGAAACAAATTTGCACGAATTGTAATTGATTAAAGGTTTAAAAGAAACAAATTACTTGGTTTCTTAATGTCTACACCTCTTTGATTTTCAATTAAAAAATAGCATCAATATGAACCAACTTGACCAGTTAATTTTTTTCGATATTCCAATACCCAACCTAAAACAAATCACTAAATATACATAAAATAAACAAATACACAAAACATACTTATAAATAAAAAATATGTTGACCAAGTAACTTCCACTTCTACATCATCTACTTTAAAGTACTATAAAAAACTAAATTAGCGTTCTTGACCTATTGAGTTTTTGACTCAAGCTTGAGTTCCCAAAACCCAATATTCTCATAAAAAATATACACTTAAAAAGAATTTTTAATTAGACAGACTCGATTAGTTCTTCACCAGGATTTTTATGATGAACTCTGATGTACAAAAGATGAGGGAATTTTTCATAAATCCAAAGAAAAATCATAAAAGAAGAAGAAAAAGAATTTAAAGAGAGATGATGATTTTTCTTAAATCAAATTTGAATTATTAACTTTTCGTATTTATAACATTTATGCTTTAATAATATAATATACATACTTAATTTCAGGTATATCACTTATGCTCTTTATTAATTTTCTAAATCCTTACAATTAAAATTGTTTAAATATGCCAACCTGTGTGATAAAAGAAAAGTCACATGAGAAGATGAAATTCATTCACCTATTCTGAAGTATGATGCAAATAATCTTTTTTTATTATTATTAAAAATAATATATATAAATTAAGTATATTATTTTTACTTTTCAAATGTAACAATGTGAAAAGAATTTATAAAAAATTGTGAAAAATTCAAATAAATATAAGTCTCATATTTAATAATTGTAAAAAGTTGAACTTGTTACAAGATAAAAGATCCACAAGATAATGCTAATTTTTTATACAAATTAGATTCAGATATTAATGATATTGTATTTATTCAATAAATCTTTTTTGATAAACCTATCAGTTTTTAAAAAAATTAAATTTGTTTTATTATTTTTTAAAAAGGCCATTTCTACCATGATTAAATGATAAAGGATTTGGTATTGAAATTTTGTTTTTGTATCGGGGGTTTTAAAGTTTCTTTGATGTAAGAAGAAGAGAATGCAATCAAACTTTAAAGTTATGTTTACTTGAATGTATTGGACTGTAGATGGAATTTAAGAAGATGAAAAAAGGATATTTTTTCTGTTCACTTGAAAGGAAATGAAGGTGATGTTGCGAATGGAAAAGCGGAATCAAGGAAAGTGCTGTACTTTTATTATATTACCCATATGATTTTAGTAATAATAATAATAATAAAAATAAAAATTATAATAATATAATTTTTTTTCATTTTAAAAATTAATTTATATTTTTTTCTCTTCTTATAATAATTTTTACAGTTATATATAATATTAACAATTATAATTTTATGTTACTTGTACTATTAAGTGTATTTTGATAATTTATCAATTAAATAATTTTTTTATTTGTCACATCGGTTAAATTCTACACTAATTTTTACAAATTTTACTTCCATATTTACTTTCACTCTCCTCCAAATATCTTCAAACAAACAAGAATCAATTCACTCTTAAATTTCCTCAAATTCATCCGGTCACTCTCTCCCAAATCAATCATTTAAAGTGAACAGACCCTTAAAATTGTGAGCAGACTTTTTCTCACGAAAAAAAAAATACAGAAAGACTTGAAAAGCATTCGGAAAGAAAAAGTACGTTTCATTATTTTGATTAGAATAAAGCAACTTGGTGCTTGTTTGTCTGCATTGCAATTAGAAAACAGATTAATGAGTTGGAAATGAGATAACTTTTGAATTGATAATATAAAGATTCCTTTAGTAAAGAAATGGGCATAAGAAATCATTATAAAAAAAGTGTTGCGTACCAAAAGGGAACTTGACCCACACACACTAAATATTAGTATTTGATGGAAAAAGGGAGTAACAAACCCGTCGGAACCTGAAAAAGTTGTGTTTGGTGTGATATGTAACAGTGTTATACTGTGTAATATATGTAGATACCAAATACCATCAGGAGCATGCATCTTCATTCAATCAATATCCACTGAAAATTGTATGATTCTTATGATGTTTTGTGCCTTTTCAAAAGCCGCAAAAAGTCTTATCTAGCTTACTTATTTTCCCAACTCACATGAGAGATAGATAAACACATTATCTTTATCCCATTGCACCACACCAAGCCATGTGAATTGTTCTTGTAAAATGTCATTTTCTTTCTTCTTACCAAACTTCTATTTATTTATTTATTTATTTATAGTTTATTATATACAATTGCTTTTTTTCTTAACTTTAATTTTTCATACTCTTCGCATGCAATAAATCCATTCTCTTACTCGTTTGAGTGAAAGTGAATTTAATCCTTTAAGTAAGATTTTTTAGATTTAACTTTAGAAATAGAAAATTTGAGTTATCAACCAAATTTTTCAACAAAGACAAAATTACTAAATACTTCCATTTCAATATAGTTAAAAGGATGCACTATCTCTATTGTTTGAAAAATATGAAGAATTTTAATTGACCTAACAGATAAAAGTGGTTTCAACTTTTAAGAAAGGCAGGAAAATCGTATGAGATATGCAATGCTGGATTCTCACGTCAATTCCTACAGATTTCATATTAATCACTATCGTATCTTTAACCCGATTGCGATCAATTATCTCTATTTTTACTTGATTTAAACATTTGAAAAATAATTTATTTTTATACGAATTTAAAATCTCGATTTGATTACTACTTAATATTATATTAGAGAATATCAACCTTTTATGAATTGAAGTGGGATTGTTTTAGTTTAATCCCTAATTTCAAATTTAGTATTAATATGCAGTCAGGGTCAATGTCAGTCTGAATGATAATAGCTAATCCTAATCTATTGTACTGCAAAAAAAATTATTATAAAATATAAATTAAGGTATACTTTACAACATACCTTTCAAAATAATTAATAATATATATATGTCATTAGCCTAAATTGAAACATATTGAAATAACTTGATCGTTTTTTCAAAATACATTGATCTAAATTATAAAGCTAAACAAAGAAAAATTAACACCGGGTCGAGTCAAATTAATAGAACAGTAGAATCATGCAGTTACTTAAATTCGTACTATTTTTGTCTATTTTTTCCCGATAATTATTTCCCTCCATTTTAGTTTTATATAGATGATGTTGAAAATCAGTTTTTGGCTGAATACATTTTTGCCTAATTTTTTGAAAATTTTGTTTTCTCTCCTCTCCTTCAATTCATTATTCTTCAACCAAATAGTATGTGAAACAAAATGGATAATAAACACGATGTCGTATTGGTCTGTCTCATAACCCTAAGGGAAATATTGGCATTGACACTAAGGTTTAGAAGATTAAGTGAAAATCAGTTATTACTAAGATTAGAATAGGGTGATGGAGCAAGGAGAACCAACCAACCGAAATGTCACATCCAGATGGCATATCTAAGTATCTTAATTATGTAAACAAAGAAAAATTTTGTGTATTAGTTTTAAGAACATGGTGTTGATTAGCAATATCCTTTTCCAGCAAACATCCATTTGTTCAAAGCTTCACCTAGACATTTCCTTTTGGAACTTTTCTACATACATGTGGCACTGTACGCAAATAGTAGAATGGTACCATTGCATTAAACCATTGATGTCTAAAAGCAAACTTAATATTGGACATGCCTTTATAATCTTGTTCTTGAATTATTTTAGGAAAACTAATAGGAAAGAGAAAAGGCAATACTTTTCAGCTAGTAAGATCTTTGAGCTACCTTACTTTTTGAAATAGAATACTTGAAGAATTTCGCTACAACAAGTTTCTTATTTCTTTCACACACACATATATATATATTATTATGCAAGTACATGCATCCCCTTTCCACTGCCTTTTGACACTTTGCAAGCGATCTATCTGGACTGGC